CTGGCAAAAGAAAGGCTTCATTCTGTCTCAGCAATTTCTTGAAGCAGATTGTGGCAGAAATTTCATCAACAGCCTCCATCCATCAGTGTTYTTATTGAATTTTCAGTGCCAGCAGATGAATGTATTGTGAATTTATCTCAGGGTTTGGTTGATAACTTTTAGTTTTTATGCTAGTGTTTATTTTAGAAAACCTATCAGCAAGAAACCAATTACAAATACCAAAAAAACCCAAAAGAAACCAACTGAGTCCAAATCCAATCAGTGATGTGCTGAAATAAATTTATTCTGTTCTTTATTTTTTTTTATATAATAAATGCTTTTTAACATTACAATTAAAAATAGGGGCTTGCAACGATGGTCAGCCCATAAAATACCTTTGATGTATTAGCAGCAAAGGTTTATTGAAATTAAATGTCTAGTGCACGTGCTCAATAACCCTTTGAAATGCAGTAGGAAATGGCAGTGTAATTGTGTCAGAGCCTTTTGMAAACCATGCCATGGGAATCAGATCTCATAAAGCTGCCTGAAATCATTCCTTGATACCAGGCCAGTGTGAACCTTACCCTGCTATGGTTTGGCTTTACGATCCCTGAGGATTCCCCAGGTTGATATTAATGTCAGTGCAGAGACACTGGGAGCTTTTCAATGTCCTCAGAGTGTTTCAAACAAATTTCGCACTTGGAAGGAAGGGCAACRTTTTTCTCACTGGTTAAATGGGAAAAAAAAGGGAAAAAATCAGCTGGGATTTCAGGGTGAGGCAGTGGCAGGTCACCAGGGCCAAAGCAGTGTGGTTCAGAAAATTTCAGTGAGCTTTGTCAACTCTGCAAAATGCCACAACTAGGCTCCAGAGATTTTAGTGGAGATACTGATGGTTTGTATAGGTAAATCATTGCAATCAAATTATGGCTGCCAGAACAGTTTGCTGGTCTTTTTTGTGTGTGCAGAGGCCAAATCATACTCAGAAATTCATGCTAATGAAGGAAAACCAGACTTTCTAAAAGTAAGAAAATCCTGCATGTTGTTGCTAATGCTTCGCTGCACATTTTGCAGTGTGAAATTTATTGCCTGTGCTATTTCTTATTCCTTTTGTGGCTGTAAAGATTATTTAATGATGGTTTTTCTCCTCTAGCTAACAATGGCAAATGCAGCACGGAACAGAAGTGGAACATTTCCCTGCTTCACTGCTTATGTGATAATTATTCCAAAAACATATCCCCACTTGGCTCTCAGCAAGGCAGAGGAGCTGTTATGGTATTGGCTGGAGACAAATTACCAAAAATTCTAAGAGACTGCTTAGTGTTTGGAGATGCTGACAAAGTGGAAAGAGAAGAAAAGGTAAGACCATCTGCTGTTCACATCTGACAGAAAACTTCAGCTAATCCTGAAGTAAATCCAAAAAGTCTTCCCTCATTCCTTACTTAGGGCCTTTYCTGCATGCAGCTTGAGTGACAGCTGGCAAGGATCTTGGAAAGTAAATCTGCACCACGAGGACTCGTGGTACAGAGAGGAAAAGACAGGACATTTGGGGAAGGCCAGCAATGAAGCATTGCTCATGTAGATGCTTGTTTGCATGTGTTATATCTGTGCAATTTTACAGAATTCAAAATCTTTTCAATTAGTATCAATTACTAAGAATTGCTGCTTGATTCTTCTTCTACATGTAGTGAAAATGTTCCCTACTCATATAGTCACCTACAGTTTCCTTGTGTTTGTCTCATCCTCTCCCTCCCCATAAGTTTTTGAAACAAGCTTTCAGCTTCAGGCAGAGTTCAGAGACTGAAACCAGCAATTTTTTTACTTTTGCCTCAAGTCTCTTGGTGAGATCCTGATTTTCCTCACTACTGCTAATAAGGGAAAAAAAAAAAAAAAACACATAGAGGAGATGATCAGCTCCCCGCTGCTCCAAGTGGGATAAATGCTGCTACATTGACCTTCACTGGCAGACAGTGACCAAAAATAAAAAAAAACACTAAAAAACTGATATGAGAGCTTAGCTTATGTTTCTGTTCGTGACACAACAAATCTCCACTTGCTCTCTTAGCTTTTCCTTTAAAACAGTTTGCTATATCCATCCCCAATAGCTGTGATTTTCCATTTTCATTAGACACATCTCAGATGCAGTCCCTGTAGCCTGACTTTTCTTTCTCACTCATCTTGTATCTTGGAGAAGTCAGTCCTAAAAATTGCTGTGTTTATATGTACACTCTGATTTGAAAGCAAACCATGGTGCACATTAGGTCCCAGTTTTCTAATTATCAGTTCATAATCAAGGGCTCTCTTTGTGGTGGAAAAAAAAAAAACTTCCTGAAGGTTTCCAAGGTTTCCTCTTCTGCAGGGTTTCCCAGGCTTGGAAGAAAATATTAGATCATTAGATAATGAGCCTCTCTGCATTCACACTGTAGAATGGAAAATCCTAGCTTTGCCATAATTCCTTTTTTTGCAGAAAAGCAAGTAGCTATACTGCAGCAAGCCAGGAGGCAATGCTGGCAGAGCAATCCAAACACACTGTGAGCAGGCATGTATTTTTCCTTGTATATAAAGAGCATTAAAACCAGAAATGGATGATTCAAGCAGTAAATCTCCAAAACCAGAAAGAAAAATRTAGATGGAAGCGCACTCCATATGATCGCTCAAAGTTCAGCCATTTTAGGAGAAAATACAAAGTTTTCTTCTTTAGAAAGATATTTCTCTACCCTGACACTGCATTTCATCCAAGTGCCAACTCCCATTAAAATATTCAAGCAAGAAAACCAAAAAGWCAAAACCATTAATACCAAGTTAAACTGAGGAACCAATGCCAAGATTTTACCCTTGAAAATATTTAGCTGCCAAACCCACCACTTTTTAATTGCTCCCAGTGTTCCAAGCAAGAGGTACAGACAATGTCAGGCTTTAATACAATTGAGAAGCGTTTTATCTCCTACAAATAAGCAACAGAACTTCAGAGAAAACTGCCCCAAAGTGCAGATGTAGTGAAACACCAAGAGTTGTGGTACAGGTGTTGAACAAAAATGACTGTAATTGCTATGTCAGCCTACAGCCAGTTAACAACTCACTCCTTAAGAGTCTCGTTTCATTGTGCTTTTACACCTAAACTGCTCTTTCCTTCAGCTAAACTTGTCCTCATCTTTAGTTTATGCTCAAAATACCCCCAGGAAGTAGGAAATTACTACTGGACTGGGAAAAAAAGGCCTCCATGGCCTTCTGGACATGATGAASACTTCCAGAAAATTCCCATAGGAGCTATTTTTGTGCCTGCCTCCCACTACTAAAAAACTGGGCTAAGCAAAGCTACCACACCAGCTAATCTTCTTTTGTGCCTCCACAGCCTGACCACAGTTCCACTGCAGAACCTCTCCTCACTTGGATAAAGCCATTCCTACACATTCCTCAGATCTTTGCTTCACACTCAGTCTCTTCACAAGTCTTTCATGACTGCCATTAAAGGTTTGCTGTCCCCATGCCCAGACAGCTTGTATTTCCTCTTTTCATCCCAATACCTCTTTTCTCAACTCTCAGAATTCTCTTCAGCTCCATTTTCCCACAATTCCTACTATCATGTCTGTGCATTGTCATTCTCTGTGTCATTTTCCATTAATTTCCAGAATACTCACTATTGCCACTCTAAAACCAATGTATTTCTGTTAAGCCTGACAWATATTTATCCATCAAATAGAAAATATTTTGGAATTAAAAGAAAAAACACTGTGTTACAGTATTGGTTTTTGGCATGATCCTAGATTCACTGTTAACAATAGAACTGTTATAGCAGGTATGTTGTACAGACTTTTTGCTCGTTTATTTGAAACATGATTTTTAGAAACAGAATATTCCCTCACACTTTGTCCACACCTGCTGTTGAAAAGTGAGTGAGGAGCATGTGCTTTGCCCACGACATGCTAGAATGTACACAGAGCACAATTCTGACAAAGGCTGCCTTTTACAAACTTCTTTATTTCTATTAATTCATGGAAACATGCTACTAAGTTATTTCTCTTGGGACAGAATTCTGCAATCAGGGCACAGGGTTTAATTAGCTGCTCTCAAGATATTAAGCCAGTTCATAAGGAGTTAAACTGGCTAATCTGCATTCTGTGGTCAGCTGTCTCCCAAATTCCTTCTCCAAAGCAAACATCTTCTGTATCCACTTGCTATCTACTGAATGTGCTTTGCTACAAGCAACACAAATGGATTTTCATCCTGGGTGTTATTATTTTACAGAATGCGATATGTAAAAATAAATATCTTTCTAATTTTAGAGCTGTTCTATCCAAATGGCTCATATTTTTTTTCCAAAATCTCCAGCTCTCTTTGTTTCTCTTTTCRTTTAATTGCAATGGCAAACTAAACCACATTGCTCAGCTAATGCAGCCTGGAATTCCCTCAGCAAGGGATCTGCAGGCACCTGGACATAGGAGAGCTGGTGCCAATGGAGGGCTGGAGAGAGACTGAAAGAATTAAAAAATTCAAAAACCCTCCAGTCCAAAGGTCTGAATCCTGACATGGGTTTGAGGGACAATCAAATGGCATAGCTTGTGCTGAGAATACACAATCTTGCCTTGCATGTGTTTTGAAGCACTGGATCAAAACACCTTTTATAAAGGAATTAAACTGCTCCTGGAGGTTTAAAAGGCTAATAAATTATTTGCCACAGCCCACAGCTCCATGGYCCTCCAAGTGACAGGGGCATTCTGCATCTTAATAGCAGGACTTGCAGCCATTTCACAGGTTACTAATTTCTGTCCTAACCCCAAAATTGCAAGCTGCAGATTATTTCATATGACACAGGACTGTCATTCCTCCACAAAGATCCTGGTCACATTTCCATTCCTTGCACAGGCAGKGCATTTTCAGTCTGTTCTTTCAACAGGAAATGTATCGTCACTAAGATCAGGGGTCCAGCAATACTTCTGTTCCACTCCCTATTTAAAATTTTGTAGCAGAGGGACTATAATAATAAGAAAATCTACATTTTACAGAAAAGGTCAGCATGTACTTACATAGTTTGATGCAAGGTCTGGATGCAGATAATCAATTCCTGCAATAAGACAACGACAGAACAGAAAACAAAGGTCAAAAGTTTCAAAAAAGATTTTCTAATGATCACAGAATAAGATTCCTTTACAACCATGGAAAATCACGGCAAACAATGCAACTGATTGAAGTGAGATTCCAGTTTTTAAATGTGGTCTTTTCACTCATTTATGTCAAAATACAGATGCCAGTGAGCTGAATGACAAAGTTTACTGACCTGTTTTTCAAACTACATTGTATTTACTTATTAAGRTTAGTTTAAATCACAATTAATCTTTGTGTGAGTTTTGTCATCTCAAAGCATATCAAAACTAACAAGACTGGTAAGTATTTGATCTGTACAGGATAGAAAAAATACTATTTGTAAACACTGAGAATCATAAAYTAAGTAGAAAATTACCTAGAGTAGACTTGGGGTGATCATGAAGGCAAACATTTCAGATTATAGGCATGCAAGAGAACTTTTAATATTGGATAAAACCATTTTAGCAAATATCTGTCCATAGGATCCACATTTTGGAGGCATGCTAAARATTCAGAGCACTGGTGTGTAATATACTCATTCTATTTCATGGGACCTTTCTACACACAGCAAATGTACAAATCCCAGCAGTGCAACAGAGGCAGTAGATCTACCCTCAGAAATAAGCAAAGACAGATCCCAGCTGACCTTAGAAAACATTTGTCGATCCAGAAATTTTATTTATTATTAATACCATTCAGCCCCTATTAAAGGAAAATGTCCAAAATTTATTCCAAAGAACATTGAGAGACTGCATGGAACTCCTGTAATTCAGCAAGTAGCCATAAGTAGAATAGCTGCAACTTCAACTGTATGTTTTATCTTCATCTTTCCTGAACTTAGTCTCAAATTAGTAATATAACTAATATGCAAATCTTCCTTGACATTCAGCATGAGAATGTTTAATTATTTCAGCTGTCAAGTATGACTTTGAAAGTAAAGTAATCCAAAAGTCATTTTCTTATGTATTTTTTGCACAGCAATTACATCCCCCCAGTCAGTGCCTACTGCAGTCAAGGGTTTTTTTTTGTTTTTTTTTCTTAGGTTAACAGCCATTACAGTGTGCCATGAAAGATAATCTGAGTGATAAGTGAAAACTACTTTTAATTCTTGGATATTCATGCTTCAGTAGTGCTGAAAACATCTGATTACATCTGTATGACACATCTGTAACACACTGACACATCTTTGTATGATATTTTCCCTGAAGATCTCCAAGTATTTATGGAGGCTGGTAGTCTCACCATTATAAGCAATCGATTACTATTAAATCCTTTTTTTTAACATCAATTACATGAAAAAAGTCTGGTTAAAAGTATTAAATGAGCATTCAGTCTTCACTTACCATCATCCATAATTCCTATGGTTACTCCCTTCCCTGTGTATCCCAGCTCCCATGCTTCAGCTACATTAAGGTCAAGTCCAGGAGTCCCATCTGCTTGACCAGTGTTAATCTAAAACATCAGTGAAAAAGAACAGCTTTTTTAACTTGACTGATATATTTCCACAGCCACTGTTTTTTTCCTTTACATCTTTGTATGTATCTTTGGTACAGAAAATATTTCCCATTTCCTTTGGAGTACACATCTGTACACAATCATATCTACTGTAATAATGCTGCTGTAAAAAGAAAAAATCTGAGAAAACCCAACACTGGCAAAAATAAATTCTTTTCAGTTTATAAGATTTGGTTAAACATGGAATCTTTTGGACCCCAAAAAAGGACTTTTCTACTTAAACATGTCAGGCCAGTGAGTCAACCCAGGAAAAAGTTAAACCAATTGATTGTACAGAGGACTTCTATAAGCACTTTCATAAGGACTTTTATAAAACTTTTTTCTTCTTGAAAGCAAGTTTCCTGTATAGCTTCCTAAATTTTTGTTCTTTTTCTTACTGCAACATTTTGATTAACAACCAGAAAATAGATGAATTAATTYTCACTTTAGTTCATCAACCCATCAAGGATAAAATCCCATCCATGCTAATGTGCCCCCATTCATTTGAAAACTCCTGCCTTAGGAAGAAAAACCTGCAGCCATATTGGATGGAGTCATTAAACATAAGAAAAAGAGGAAGAAACATTACTCTCAAGCAAAATTACCTTTCTTAAGTTAACAAGGCAGCACCGTATTTATTGAGTATTTCATCACAAAAATGTTGCAACAACARAACTGACCAGAATTACTTCATCAAAATTTTAAATTAAAAAAAAATCATTTCACTTTGAAATAAAAATGTAATTTTTCTTTTATGCCTAAAGACTTCTCCCTATARAAATACAACACATGAAAAATAAAACAATTCAGCAAAACAAGAATTTCCTTTTACATTAGCTTAAGCATACCAGCAATGCCCACAAGACATCAGTACAGTTCTCTTTCAAGCCTTCTACAGATCTTTCCACYGACTGAAATGAACTTTCTCTTCTGAAATGTGCTGGATCTTTCCAATACAAAAAAAATTAAATGGGGTAAAATTAAAAAACAAAAAAACAGAGCCTTGGATCCATTCCCAAGTCCTCACGGTGCATTTGGAAAGAATTGTTGAAAAATACTGCAACCACACCGAATGGTTTGAATGGCAATTATTTAGTTATGAATATTGTGATTTTCTCCCAAAACTTACCAGGTACCACTGCTTTGTAAATAAAGGATCATTCATGTTGATGTCAATGTCATTGATGTCTCTATATCCTCTCTTCCTTCTGCTGAAGCCCTCCTGTTGCACAGCTTTCCTCACCTGCAGGAAGGGTTCATTTTTACATCTTTAATYCAACATTCTTGAGGACACATAAAGAGTTTTTTAGACTTGTTTTCACGAGAGATAATGGTWATGAAATCACACTACTTTGTGTCCATGTCATTTATTTGCAAACTTCTAAACCAGTGATTGGTTCCAGTCAGAATTTACAGAGGTAGAAAGCTCCAGGACTACAGGAACAGCTGTGAGGGGAACTCCCCCAGAGTGTAGAAAATCTCAGCTTGAACATTTTTTAGACACCAAGCATAASAGTGAGCCCCTATCCAGGCATCATTATTATCATGGGTCTTCTTGACACAGTTTTATTTTTCATTGCCACCAAAATAGAAGCTAAAATGATTTAACTGATTCCAAATATGTCACAGCTGCAAGCTGTAGACATTTGATAAAATRAGGATGGAGGTCTCAACCACATTTACACTTTTTCAGATATTTCTCCAGGGCTTTATCAGATTATTAGATAGCGTTTGCTGCTGAATAAATTTTCTGGGAGAAAAAACATCTGGTGTTGTGAGCTTTCACCACACTCCTGAGGCTCTCAAAAATGTCTTGTAAARTGATCTGCTTTCAAGGATTATCCTTGCAATAAATAAGTGATAAATAAATATACTGACAAGAAAAACTATGAGGTAAAAAAGCCACTAAACTGACCACAATGGCTAAAGTGTAGGATATGAAAATACAGGTTATGAAACACAAGTCGTCACAGTTTTTGAGAAATGCTTTTCTTTATGCACCACAAATCCACAAAACATTTAAGCAAGCACTGTAGAATATAAGAAAAGTTAGACATGCAAATATCTTTGGAGGCAGGAACTTCAAATGTCAGACCATAATCCCCTTATTTGTAYCCACGTAAAAGAGCATTTTCAARGGAAACCACTCTGGTTTTAGCTGGAGTTGTAACATGTGCTAATATATTCACAGACCTTGCAAAAGTGCTGACAACTTTGGCACTTTGGCATACTCATTTTGTACTCTTCAGCCTAACACCTGGAAACAAGATAGCATGAAGAGTCCCAACATTTAATTGTAAAAAA